ATGTGTGCCTGTGTGAGCATGTGTCTGTCTGCGAACGTGTCTGCGTCTGTCTTTCTCAGGCACACCTCTGCTCACCCAGGCTGCCCTCCCCCGGGCGGTGCTCACCTTGGTCTTGATTTGCTTGGCTGAGTCCGTGAGGAAGATGGAGGAGTTGGGGTCGCTGGCACTCATTTTGGTCTGGGCCCCCTGCAGGGCAGGGAAGAAGGTGGAGTGCAGCAAGGCAGGTTTCGGGTAGCCGATTCTGGGGGCGACATCTCTCGTCATTCTGAAGTAAGGATCCTGCAGGGACGGACGAGGACAGCTGTGACCACAGGCCGCTTCCAGCAGTGAGCAGCACCAGAGAAATCTTCCCAGGAAGCACTCAAGCTTCCAATTATCTTAAAATCCTCTTTCCCCAATGAAGAGCGCAGGTGTCTCCTAAAAATGCCCAGCCGTCCACAGCCCTGACTGCACTGACCTGGTCAATGGCACAGGGGATGAGGCACTGGACGTCTGTCTTGCCCTTGAAGATCTGCGGGAAGGAGTTGCTGAAGGAGGGGGCAGCCTGGATGGCAGGGAAGCCGATCTTCCCTGAGAGAGAGGAGAGGATTTTCAAGCAGGAGGCCAAGCACAGTTTGTTTCATTGCCCAAGTTACTGGCACTGTTGCTGGGAGTTGCCATACGCTGGTCCGGACTCCTGGTGGCCTTACACATAACCAAATGAAACGCTGCCCAGACCTGTGCCATCTTCATGATGGTTAGTATGTCTGAGTCCAACTCCTATAACTCCAGTTACAGGAATTAACAAAAAAAGTAACAGCCATTAAAGAAAACCTGAAAACCACAGAAAAGCAGAAAGAAGACAAAAGCTCTAGCCCCATCTCTGTAATCCCTTTCGTCTCCTATTCTGACTCTGTATTTCAGTTGGCACTATATACTGTTTAGTTTTTCCTTGCCTTTCCCACTCTGTGACATTTATCCATATTGTTATTAGAAATGTCCTATCCCATAGATGCATCATATTTAACTGTTCTCGAACCATTGGGCAAAGAGCCCTGGTGGCGCAGTGGTTAAGCACTTGGCTACTAACCAAAAGGTTGGCAGTTTGAACCCGCCAGCGGCTCTGTGGGAGGAAGACCTGGGGACCTGCTTCCGTAAAGATTACAGCCTAGGAAACCCTATGGGGCAGTTCTACTCTGTCACACGGGGGCGTCATGAGTCAGAGTCGACTTGATGGTACCTAACAACAAACATCGGGCATTTAGGTTGTTTCCCATCTTTAACTGTTCTAAATTATGACGAATATTTTGGTACGTAAGACTGTTTTCAATATTTTAGATGTTGTTACTGTTAGTATTATTTGCTTGCTGTTGTCGTTAGGCGCCATCAAGTCACTTCCGACTCATAGCAACCTTACGCACCACAGAACGAAACCCTGCCTGGTCCTACGCCATCCTCACAATCACTGTTATGCTGGAGCCCATTGCTGCAGCCACTGTGTCAATCCATCTCGTTGAGGATCTTCCTCTTTTTCACTGACTCTGTACTTATTTGCTTAGGACAGCAAAGGTGGAATTATTAGGTCAAAGGGGACGGATCTTTGTATGACTCTTGACACTGAGTGCCAAGCCCAGGCTCTGAGTTCAGGCCCCAGGTGTGCAGGAGACACGGCCCAGCACTCACAGCTGTTTGGAACCCCACTGTGACAGCTAAACACTGGAGGGTGGGGTTAGCGGATGCTGCTTGGCTTCCTCCCCTAGAAGTCCTGTCTCTGCTAAGCTCTCCACTTCAGACACACCCCATCTCCAGGGCTCCTGCTTTTCTCCGGAGACAGATGGACCATCGCCCTCATCACCACCATCAAAAGCACAAGGCAGCTGTGATGGTTGATGTTAGGTGTCCACTTGGCCGGGCTATGATTCTGTGGTTTGGAGATACTATGTAACCACTTCCATTCTGTGATCTGATGTGAGCAGCCAATCAGTTGAAAGAGGAGTCTCACTGGGGGCGTGGCCTGCCTCTACTATATAAATGGATGTTCTGGCAAACCTTTCAGTTTCTGTCTTGACTCTGTTCTCTTTTTGTCACCTGACCTCCAGATCTTGAGAGAAAAGTCTCCAGCAGTCTCCAGCTTGCCGCCTGACCTGCAGATTTTGGATCTCTCAGCCTTTGCAACCTTGTGAGCCAGCAGGTCTCCACCCTACTGCCAGACTCATGTGGGACTTGCCAGCCCCCACAATGGCGTGAGCCATTTCCTTGCAGTAAATCTCTGTTTATATATACATCCCACTGGTTTTGCTCCTCCAGAGAACCCAGACTACATCAGCAGCAGTGGCCGCCGGTGGAGGGAAGTGCCGGCTCCGTGTGCAGGGTCTGCCATGAGTTCAGTTATGCTCCACACTCGATGGAGGAGGGACTGCTCTCATCCCATTTCACACATGTGCAAATCCAGGCTCTGACTCTGTCAGTGACCTGCCAAAGTAGGTGGCCGGGACTCAAACCTGGGTTTCTGCAAAGCAAAGCGTGGGCACTTTTTCACCCTGCAATACTGCCTCCCTCAGCAGCTGTGTATGGCCTTCGCTGTAATACCACCGTACAGATGCCGGAATTACCAGGATGAAAAAACCCTTTCAAAAGCACAGGGTTTATGCCCCGATTGTCAGGAATGACTCTGACTGAAACAAAGGATCCGTAGTGGCACTTCTCTCTACTTGTCCTTGGAGGCTCCTCCCTGATGGGCCCTGGTGTGTGTCCCTCCACACAGGGCAGGCACCATCTCGAAAAGTGCCTTGGGGAGCTATCCCGGGCTGGCAGCTCAAGTGAAGGCCTACTGGGGGCGAGGACAGAACCAGCAGACCCAGCTATGAGTCTTGAGGACTCAAAGTCTAATGGGAGAGAGCTGATGCAGTGGAGAGAGACATGGAAATATATGGAAGGGACAGGAACCCACAGGTAGGGGACGTGTGTATCAGCTGGAGGGCGGCGTGATGAAAGAGAGCGTGAGGGCAGGGAGGGCCCCAGAGGGCCTCCATTCCAGCTCCTCGCCTACAGGTGGGGACACTGGGGTGCAGGGAGACAAGGACTGGCAGGTCTGGCCTCCTGTATAACCCCTGGGCCTCCAGCAAAGGGCGTCCCTACACTGGGCCCCACAAGCCAGTGCAGGGACTCCAAAGTCATAGTTACTTCTTTTTTCTTCTAAACCTTAAAACAGGTGAGTGAGGTGCAGGCCAGACTTGCACCCCAAAGTCAAGCTTTACACAGCACAGAGAGCAGCTGAACGCATGACACTGGCATCTGACGTTCCAGGGAAAAACCCACATTTGGGTTTGCTATTTAAAGAGACAAACTGCAGGTGCTAATGTCTCAGAAGCTCCAACCCCGGGGCAGACAGCACGTGCTCCACTGCAGTCTGCTGGGCGGCTGCTCTGGGTCTCTGAGATACACTCGTCTCCTGAGCTCTGCCCTTCAGGGTGGCTGAGGGGATGCCCCCAGCGGCAGCGGGCTCTCTTACCAATGCAGTCACTGTCAGTGAAGCCGAAGATGCCTTTCACCTGGTTGAAGGTCACGTGCTTCTGAATCTTAACGACGTTCCTGTAGAAGCCTGGGCTCATCCTGCAAAGACAACCAGACTCACAGCCCGGCCCAGACACAGCGCGGCAGAGTGAAACCAAGGCAGTGAGGCCGCGCGGGCCAGGTGCCGGGTGAGGACGAAGACTGCGGGCCACATCGCAGTCGACAGGAGGGAGGCCGGCGGGTGCTGACCTGCCATCTGTCGGCAAAGATGCCCCACCAGGCAAAGCAGCTAACACTTGATGGGACCCTCAGGTGCTGCAAACAGTCGATGCACTTAGCTGCTAACCGAAAGGGTGGAGGTTTGAGTCTACCCGGTGGTACCTCAAAAGAAAGGCCTGGCGATCTATTTCTGAAAAATCAGCCATTGAAAACCCTACAGAACACAGTTCTACTCCGAGTCGTGTCGACTCAACGGCAACTGAACAGTTAGTGAGTCACTGCTCAAAGCACGTCAGGTGTAGAACTGCGTTACGGCCTCACAGGAGCCCTTGCAGCACAGCTGCTGTGAACCCCTGACCGCTCGAAGGCATGTGCGCGTTACCCCTCCCCCCTCAGTTGTCCTTGCAGCGCTCACTGTCACCTGACTTGTTATCTGCTGTCTGACCCTGCCGTTAGAAGGGAGGCCCACGCTGCGGCTGGATGTCGGCTCTGCTCACTGCTGTCTCTCCAGCAGCAGGCTGGCACACAGTTAGGTGCTCATTAGCAAAAGTAAACATGTGCTGAATGACTGAATGGAGATGAGCTGAGGAAACCGGCAGAGAGGAGCTGATTTGTTTGCCCAAGTCACAGTCAGCAAGCAACAGAGCCAGGATTTGAAGAGGCAGAGTGCACACCACCCCACAGCCATCCAGCCTCTCGCCAGCGCCAAACTCCCGCACTTCACAGGAAAACAGAGGCGCCGAGAATTAAGAGACTTGCTGTGGTGCAGCGGATGACTTAGTACGGCCCTTCTAGCCAGTCTTTGCAACTCCCACCAAATGACTGGGTGGGACTATGCAAATGAGGTGCTTGTCGCCCACAAAGGGGATCAGATAGGTTGCTAATAATATAAACAAGATGCACAGCACCCTTGTTGGGGTGGGACCATGCAAATAACGTGTATGGAACCCTAACGAGGGGTTTGGTCAGTTTTGCCATCCCACTAGGCTTAAAATGAGCCATCCCAGAGGTGGGAAAGGAAGATCTCAACACCACCAAGGAAAAAGAGCCAAGAGTGGAGTGTGTCCTTTGGACCTGGGATCCCTGCGCTGAGAACCTCCTAGATCTGGGACAGAGAGAGGAGCTGTAACATGGAAGACAGAGAGAGATGGCGGCACAAGACAGCAGGAATCAGGAGACAGGCGGAAGCCAGCTGTGCTGGGGCTTCCTGGCCCACTGAGTGAGAAAGCTGAGTGCCTTTGGGCGTGAGGCTTACTGACAGAGTGAGGTGCCTCTGGGCACTTATCAGCAGAGCTAAAAGAGCTTTGTAACACTTGCCTGAGCAGGGCAGAGGCCAGGGCGAGGGGTCAAGAGGTTGAGGGGCCAGAGACAGGCTTGTCTGCAGGCATAGCTGAGAAGAGGCTGTCCTGATTGAGGAACTGAACCTGAATTGTAACGCACCACTTCCCTAATAAACCCCACAATCGTAAGTATTGTCTGAGAGTTCTGTGTGGCCACTGCAATGAAATTACTGAACCCAGAAGAGAAGGAGAGAGTGCCGTGGGAGGGACGGTTGGTGTCAGAATCGATGAAAAGGGGACAGTGAAGAGACTTGTCTGACCTCTGCCTCTGAAGAATCAGCCTTAGCCTGTTGATGCTGATAATGATTCTTTCTCCCCCCGTGAAGTTAGAGGAGGTCAGACTCCACTGCCACACCATTTTTGCACTTGCCCAAGGAAGCAAAACCAACTTGGGTAGAGCTGAGTCTGGAACGCAAGTTTTCAGGTTCCACTGTGGTGCCTTTTGGTCCCCCACGACTCCTGGCCCCTTGGCACCACAGGCATGGCCAGAAACATGTGCGGGCGTGGCCAGAAACCTGGGTCAGCGGGGCCAGAAATGCGGGCGGGCGGGCTGGAAGACGTGCCTCCACATCGACCTCTTCCCTCTGCTCACGGAGGGGTGGAGACTGGCTCTATTTTATGTCTAGCTCCTAGAGACCAGGGAGGAGACTGAAGTCAGAGACAGAGACCCAGAGGCAAATTTCAAGAAGGAGAAGTAAAATGCTTGAGTGTTTAGAAACAGTTCTTAAATAAAGAGAACAAGGCATTTGAAAAAGGGATTTAGCTTTCAAAGTGTCTTTTGTAATTTCAGGTCGTTTCTAAGAGACACTCTGGTTTACACGCTGTCTGAGCTTCCACCTTTACTCCATGTCCGTAAAGAAGAAGGAAGTTATCACTGAGCAGAGGTGGGTGACCAGGAGCAGCAGCCACATCACCACAGAGACGGGCTTAGGGGACAGTCACCACAAACCCCACGTCCTTGCTCAGAACGTGCTGAAAGCAGGGTTGGTCTCTGCATACGGACTGTTTAAGAGTTCGTGCGGCCCCATCATGCGCACATCCACTCAATCTTCATGGACTCAGTACGTGCAGTCTGCCTGTCTCCCGCCAACGCAGAAGGTGAAGAAGGCCAGGGCTTGTC